CTCCCGCGGGAGTCGGAAAACCCCGGGCGCCGGGGAGCCTGGGCTCGGGAGGAGCCGCGGCCGCCGCCTACCTGGGGACCTGCCTAGGTGTGGCCTCGCCGGGATGCAGGGGGCGGGGGCGGGCGGGCTGCAGCAGCAGGAAGTGAGAGACGGCCGCGGGCAGCAGGAAGCCGACGGGCGAGTTCTGCTGCCGACAGACGCGGCCGCCCAGACATGGTGAGCGGGCTGGGGGCCGGGCCGGGCCGGGGCGCGGGCCCGGGGCTGGCCGGGGCGCGAAGGGCGAGCTGGTGGCAGCCAGAGGCTGGGCCCGCGCCGCCCGGGGCCTCCCGGCGATGACAGCTTGGCCGCCAATGCCCTGCGTCGCCTGGGCGGGGGCTCCTGCTGCTCGGCTGACCTCGGCTGGACCCGAGCAGGGCTCGGTGGGGGTGGGGGTCGGAATTCCTCGGAGTCCGCCAGCGCCCTCCCCCCTCCCGCTCCAGCTGGGCCTGGCCGGTGTTGTGACACCAGGCAGCCAGCGCCTCTGCCACTCCGGCTCAGATTCCAGGGCAGGCAGGGGTAGTTTCTCCCTTTGGCCTTTCACCATGACCCTGTGCAGACGCCCAGTGGATTCGTCGGTCCCCTGAATCGAAGGATCAGCCCCTTCTCTTTGAATAGGAGGACAGCCGAGCGTCAGGACAAGAACCAGTTGGTTCTCCTGATAATCTGGCCCAACCCTCACCCTGGCATGTTTCTGGAGGCCCACGGGACAGACCATCAAGGGGAGAGCCTAATACTGTTTTTCCTCCTTGTTCAAAACCCTGATCTGAGGCCTCAGCACAAGCAGGCCTGCGCCAGGGAGGCCTGCTCCCCACTTCCCCAGTGCCCCGTGACAGGCACTGTTTTCCTTAGTATCTGCATGAGCAGAAGGCGCCTGTACAGCCTCCCTAGTGGTGGGGACGCTGAAGTGTGGGCAACTGCAGCGGCAGCCCCTGATGGGGCCTTGCTGGGTCTCAGCCATGGAGCTAGGCTCCCTGCCCCGGGGTCCAGGAGCAGAACAGCTCTCCCACTAATGCCTGGAGAGGGAGAAGGGCTGGACCAGGGAGGGCTCCTACGCCAGAGCCCACTCTAGTGAGAACCTGTGAAATGGAGGAAAGGGGTGACTCTGGGAACTGGAAAGTGGCATTTGGCTGTGCACTGGAGGGTGACACTGTACACCAGCTCTGGGGCCCCAGAGTCCTCACCAAGCACCCGGGAAAGAGTCAGTGGCCCTGAAACTGAAAAAGAAGGTTGGTCCTCTTTGTCTAGCTTCAGCTCACTTTCTGGGGCTTAAAAATGCACTTGTGTTTGATGACGCAAGCGATACATGAAAACATTCTCTCTGTAATCATCTCAAGCATTGCAAAAAACTGGAATCCACCCTGCACTGTACCTCCTTGGCCACTTGGATCCTCCTCCTCTGGTCTCACTAACCCTATGTTGCCCTCCAGGAGGAGGCCGGCGGAGGTAGGGGACATGACCAGGTGCGGAACCTGCAGAGTGAGGTGGAGGGAGTCAAGAATATCATGACCCAGAATGTGGAGCGGATCCTGGCCCGTGGGGAAAACCTGGACCATCTCCGCAACAAGACCGAGGATTTGGAAGCCACCGTGAGACGGGGAGCCTGCTGGGGAGGGAGGTTCTTTACTGTTCTGGGAATTGACATGAGTCCCCAATTCTGGTTCAGCACCACTCCAGATTGGTTTGGAGTCCAGGAAATGGTCCAGTAACTGGGCTTGGGGAGGAGACATTTTTTGCCACAGCTCAGTCTTTCCTCTGAAACCGATTCTCCCTTTGATGCCTGCCTTTGAGTCATTTTGGCCTGGAAAAAGTATCAGCTTTGGGAAAATCCTCTGGCCTTTGGCCTTCCCAGGAGTTATTAGGTGGGGGTGAAAACCTCCTAGAGTCTTGCTGAGTCAGCCTTAAAGAGAATCTGGGAAGAGCAGTGAAACCCTTTGAAGCTAGGATCCTTTGTCTGCAAAGGCTGGAATACCTCCACTCATCTTGTTAGGCCTTTCCTTTCCAACTAGGGGCCCAGGCCAATGGCTTAGGGAGAAAGTCATTTCCAAGTTCAGATGAGGCTGCAGCCTCAGGCCCCATGGCTCTGGCTTTTCAGGCTTGTGTGTGGGATGTTTATCGCTCCTTGGTCTCTGGAGACTGAGTGCCCCTCTGCAGCCTCATCTAGATACAAGTGTGCAGGTGCAGCTGGGGGAAGAGGAGCGCCCCCTACTTCCAACCCTCTGTACTGCTCTGGTCCTCCTTCCAGCTTCCACAGCTCCCAGGGGACAAGGAGTCCTGGAGCAGGGGGTGTACTCACCTGGAACCTGCAGCCCTCAGCCCCAAGGTCTGCCTTCCCAGAGACAGACTGCTGCTAGGTTCACATCAAGAGCAGGGGGACTCCTAGTCCCTGACACATTCAGATGGAGGGTCCCTGGAGCCCAGGAACCTCAGCTTGAGCCTGGCTGTGACCCTGCTATCAGTGGGTCTGTGAAGGTGGGAGGGGAGGGCAACTTCTGCTTCACAGCTGGTTGCCTCTGCGTATGCCCAGTGGGCAGGCCCCAGGCCCCTCACCTGGCCTTGTCCCTGACAGTCAGAACACTTCAAGACCACGTCGCAGAAGGTGGCACGCAAGTTCTGGTGGAAGAATGTGAAGATGATCGTGCTCATCTGCGTGGTCGTGTTCATCTTCATCCTCCTCATCGTGCTCTTCAGCACGGGTGCCATCCCCACCTAGGCTGCCCTGCCCCGCTACTCCAAGGAACGCTACCCGGTGAGGCCCCTGCCACGCCCCAGGAGCAACTTGATGCCCAGAAGGCGAGAGCTGGACTGGTCCCTAGAGCTGCTTGGGAAGACCCAGAGGACCCTGTGTGTGGCTGGGAAACTGTTGGTGGCTGGTGGACAATAAAGACCTTTCAGTGTCCCTGTGTGTGAGGTGTCCTCCCTCCACAGTTAGCCCTGGGCCTTGCATTCCTTCCTCCTGGGCTGCCCTCTGGCCAAGGCTCTGCTGTCCAGGCCCAAGCTGCTGGAGGGGTGGAAAGCACGTTTGCAGAAGGAAGGGGGGGGTCCCTGTCTTTTTTTGTTTTATTTATAGTGCTGGGGACTGGACTCAGGGCCTCCGTGTGCTAGGCAGGCACTTTACCACTGAACGACACCCTCAGTCCTTTATATTTTTTATTTTGAGACAGGGTCTTTCTAGGTTGCCCAGGCTGGCCTCATCCTTGCACTCCTCCTGAGTCGCTGGGATATTGGAATGGCCACCACATCAACTTTCTTCATTCCACCCTGTTCTATATTGTCACAGTTCTCAAGAACAAGAATTTTCTTGAGGATCTTGACATAAGGAAAATGCAAACCCTTCACAATATCTTAGAGTGACCTGTGAGACTCAGTGTCCCCCTTGGGCCCTGCCACGTCCCTTCGTTCCTCTCCTTGGAAGCGCTGGCTGAGTCATGAAGCGCTCCTGAGCAATGTTAGGCCTGGTGGAGGGCCTCCTGGCTCTGCTGCCATTGCCATCTATCTCTCTTCTATGGCCCTGTTGTAATCCAGAGCCAAGAGTTGAAGGAATTAGCCTGTTTTCATTTTCTGGAAGTTGAGCATTCTGTTTGTCTTTTGTCTGTCCCTTCCCTGAGGTTGAGCAGGCCCTGGGTCTTGGCTGTTCTGAGGGGGTGAGCATCTCTCCCCCACACCCCAGGCTGGGCACAGTCAGGGTCACAGGACAGGCCTGTGGCCCTCCTTTCCCTGCATGCACAATGAGCTTTCTGTCTTCTGATCTTCCGTCTCCCCACCAGGTCCCACTGTCCCTGGGGCTCTATCCGGTGCCCAGTCGCCTGGTGGGTGGTAGGGTTCCTGTCCTGTTTCCTCCATAGCCTTCACAGCACTGGAAGCAGCTTGTTAGGAAGAGTGGGGAAGGGGTTGGATTGAGAGGATTGGGACTGATTGGAAGTCATATTCTGGAACATTCTCTGAGCTCTGGGAAGGCAGGCTTCCGGAGACTGCAGTCCTTACTCTCCTCAGTGCACTCCTGGATGCACCATCTAAGCTTGGGACGCAGGCCCTGCACAGTGGAGTGCAGATCTGTGCTCACTGAGGCTCGGAGTGGGGATGTTGGGACTGGCCAGTTATGGGTCAGTTACTTACCAAGCTGGCAAATCCCCTCCTGTCCTGTGGGGATGTCTCTAGGGCCCAGCAAGGAATGGATAGGGGCAGGCACATATGCGTGATGAGTGAGTGAATGACACCTCCCCGTTAAGCCCATGAACCCACTTCCTATGCCTCCTGGGAGGGCCACAGTGCTGCTATGACCACTGTGCCACTTCCTATAGTGGGCTTCCGAGGGGTGGCCAGCATGCAGATTCACCTAGCGCAGGCTGACTAGAGATAACCTAATCCACCAGGAATAGCTTTACCACCAGGAATAGTCCAATCTACCAGAGACACAGCCCCACTCACCAGGCACAGCCCACCCATCTAGTATAGCCCCACCCACCATGTATAACATACCCACCAGGAATAGTCCCACCCACCAGGTATAGCCCATCCACCAGGAATAACCCTTACACCAGGTATACCTCCATCCACCAGGCATAGCCCACCCACCTAGTATAGCCCCACCCACCAGGTATACCTTCCATCCGCCAGCCATAGCCCATCCACCAGGCATAGCCCTTCCACCAGGCATAGCCCACCCACCAGGTATACCTCTGTCCACCAGGCATAGCCCACCCACCAGGTATACCTCTGTCCACCAGGCATAGCCCCACCCACCCGGCATACCTCCACCTACCAGGTATACCTCCACCCACCGGGCATAGCCCACCTACTGGGCATAGCCCCACACAGCAGGCTCACCCCTATCCACCAAACTAGCTCCCTCCGCCAAGCACAGACCCGTCCATCAGGTGGCATCCATATTCCGGCGCCGGCAGCCCGGCAGGAGGCGCCCCGCGGACCTTTGGTTGTCGCCTGCCGCTTTCGATTCTACCAGGTCTGGGTCGCGCCTCTCGGAAGGTCCAGCGCCGGCCCCGCCCTCGGCTTCCTCCGGGGCAGCGGGCGCGGAGCAGCGCGGCGATGGTGAGGGTCCAGGCGGGCTGGGCGGGCCAGAGTCCCGGGCGGGGGCGGGGGCGGCGGGACGGTGCCCTGGGCTGCGCTGCCCATCTGCCTGGGCGGCGCGGGCGGACCGGGTGACCCGGGCTGGGATCCCGGCGGCTCGACCCGGAGAGTCACTTAACCTCAGAACCTCCTTTTCCTCACTGTGAAGTGGGGTCGGCAATACCCGCCTTATTGGGACCTTTGGCTGTTAAAGACGGTCCCCTGGTCGACCGGGAGCTGGGAGCCACCGCGGGTGGAAGGTGGTGGCACTCCAGCCCGATGGCACTCCAGCCATCCAGGAGAGGAGCCAGGCCTGGCCCCGGGGGTGGGAACCTGAGAGGCCGAGGTGGTAGAGGCTGTTCCAGCCCCTTGGCTAGTGCTGGAGGACACATCCCTTGGGAGAGAGAAGAGAACTTGTTTACTGTAGAAGTTCCACCAACGTTATCGGGTGGCCCAGGCCTGACTCCTCCTAGCCTCCATTCAGTGACATCCCTGAGTTGTCACCCCACTCCTGCTGCAGACTCTGGGCTGTCCTCACTTGCTTCTCCAAGGCAAGGGTGTCAGGGAGGGCAGGTCCCAGGCTCCCACCTCCCCTGGGGCTCCTGGGAAGATGGAGTCTTGGGAAGCTGGCAGAGGTGTGATGGAGGTGGCTCGGGCAGGGTCAGGATGCTGGATGGCTTAGTCTCCAGGGACCTGGAGGCAGGAAGGGGAAGTGGGGCAGGAAGGTTAGACTGAGCTCTGGGGCCACCAGGAAATTGGTGCTCTAAGCGCAGGGACAGAGCCAGAGCCCATTCCTGAGCATGCAGGGCAAGAGAGCAGTCAGGGCCAGAGGAAGCTTCTGGCTGCCCTTAGCCTCGGGGAAGAAGGCAGGGCCAGGGCAACTTACTGGGGGCACTGGGGGACCTCGGGACTCTCCCAGGTCCCTCTGTGTCAGAGCCGGGGCAGGCTTACTCTCCTCCACCAGCCACCTCCAGCCCCATTCTTCTTCCACTCTTGCCCTCTCTGTCCCTAGCTCTTCCTTTTCTTCTTTCCATCCCTTTCCCTGGCCTTTCCTCCTTTCCCTTTTCTGCTCCTCTTCTCCGTGCCTCATTCCATCAACACAAAATTTTTCGGGCAGTTCCTCTGTGCCAGATGTGGTGACAGTAAAGGGATTAAAGCAGGAACAAAGCCAAGATGGGAAAGGTGGGAGCTGAAAAGCGATTGCCTGCAGCCAGTCACCTTGGACAGGCCCCAGAGCGTCTGGGTGCCGAGCCACAGGCCCCTCAGAGACACACAGATTGGGCTGGCTGGGGCAGGTAGGCCCTGGACCTCCTTCACCTGATTGGTGTAGCAGGGGTTATGCATGTGATCCCCGGGGGCAGGGGTGTGCTCAGTGGTGGAACCCTTGCCTATCAGGGTGAGGTTCTAGGGCTATGCGCACACACATACACACACCCCTGGGTCCCAGTTGGTTCAACTCCCAGACTTTCTACCTACTGGCTTGTGACCTTCCACAGGTGATTTAACACCTTTGGCCAAAGTCCTCATAAAACTGGGATAGTAAAACTGCATTCAGTGGGTTTTCGTGAAGATGGAATGAAATAGAGTGAATGAGCAGCTGGCAGCCTGGTGCCTAGGCCAGGGCACATGTGCTCTGAAAGGCGGCTACGTTCCTGCTCAAGACTCAAGGGCCCATGACACCGGAGGTGATAGCTAGATGCTAGTTCTCATGAAAAATTCCCTATTTAGGTTAGGTACAACCAGGCATGGTGATACACTCCTGTAATCCCAGTGGGTCAAGAGGCTGAGGGAGGAGAGTCGAAAGTTAGTTCAAGGTCAGCCTGGGCAACCCACAGAGATCCTGTCTCTAAGTATTAATTAATAGGACTGGCACATGCCTGTAATCACAGTAACTTGGGAGGCCAAATCAGGAGGATTGCAAGTTTGAGGCTAGCCTAAACAATTTAGCCAGATACTGTCTCAAAAATTAAAAATACAAAGGGTTGAGGAGTAAGTTCAGTGGTAGAGAACTCGTCTAGCATGTGTAAAGCCCTGAGTTCAAACCCCAGCACTGCGAAAAGAAAGGGAGAGTGGGAAGAAGGAAAGAGAAAGAAGGAAGGAGTGTCCAACAGAGAAGAGTTTTATTGCTTGTGCATTTTGTGAAAACTAAGAGGATTTAATTGATTGATTGATTAGTACCAGGGACTGAACCCAGGGATGCTTAATCACTTAGCCACATCCCCATCCCTTTTACAAAAAAATTATAGTTGTAGATGGACAATAGACTTTATTTTGTTTATTTATTTGTTTTATGTGGTGCTAAGGCTCTCTGCCACTGAAGTATAGCCCCAGCCACTGCCACCAGCCCCTTTTTATGTTTTACTTTGAGGCAGGGTCTTGCTAAGTTTTTTAGGGCCTCAATAAATTGCTAAGGCTGGTTTTGAACTCATGATCCTCCTGGCTCAGCCTCCTGAGCTGCTGGGATTACAGGTGTGTGCCACCATGTCCAGCAGGAGGTTTTATTATTTATTTATTTATTGTTTTGGTAATGGGAGTTGAACCCAGGAACACTTTTTATTTTTATTTACATATTTTTACATACATGTATTTAAATTCCCTTTTTATTTTTTATTTTGAGAAGGGTCTCCCTAAATTGCCCAGGCTGGCCTCCAACTTGCAATTCTCTTGCTTCAGCCTCCAAAGTCCCTGGGATTTCAGACATGCACCACCACAAGTGTAGTGCAGTTCTTAAGATCTGCCTGCTAGACAACATGTGAAGGAAAGCTAGGGAAATTGGGGATATATTAATTTTAATGATAGTCATTTATTGAGCATTTGGTATGTGTCAGGCATTGTGCTAAGCTTTTTGTTTGGAATATATCACACAATCTTCAACTAATATTGTGAGGTAGGTATTGTTATTACCACCACTTTATAGATGAGGAAGCAGAGGATCAGCAAGGTCATATCCTCCGTTTTTGGTCACTGGGCTGGTGAGTGGCAGAGGCAGGATTTGAACAGGATACAGCAAAGACCCTGCTCTTTGTGACTGAGCTCAGCGCTGAGCCAGGGAAATCACAAGACAGAACTTGCACCCGCCCATCCCCAGCAGATGGGAACAGGACTTCTTGGATACTCAACAAGATACAGGAGACAAGAGAGTTGGAGAAGGAGGTTGGTTGATTTGTCTCTCTGTGTTGTCCAACCTGATCCCAAGCTCTGGCCTCCAGCCTCAGCCTCCCCAGCAGCTGGGTTCACAGGTGCATGCCCCTGCACCTGGCAATAAGCCCAGTTTTTGCTTTTGGTTTTGCAGTGCTGGGGTCCAGCTCAGGGCCTGGGTGCTGGGCAAGTAATAGACTCCCCTAGGCCAGCAGGGAGGTTTGGGGGAGCTGCATTTTCAGAGGAGAAACTAAGGGTATGGGGCCTGGAAACGCCTGAAAGGGGATTTGAAGGTGGGGAATGTAGCTTGGGGGTAGAGCACTTGCCTAGCATGTGTGGTCTTGGGTTCTGTCCCCAGTGTGGAGGTGGGGTTGAGTGACAGACAGGAACATCTGTCAAGAACATTTCCTGCGTAACTGCCACCCTGTCTGGCAACAACTGCTACCCCTCCCCCTGGCTCCAAACCCCATGTCCTGCAGGCCCCTGGCAGGTTTCAGAAGTGCCTCTCCAAACTGCCCTTCCTCTCTGCACTCCTGCCCCTCCTCACCCCCAGCCTGGCAGGCCTCTCCTCACACTCCGCTGATTGCCCCTGTACCCCGCTGGCCCACCTCTCTGACCTCTCTGCCCAACTTCCCTCACTTTGATCCGTGGCTGTGGAGTCAGAGGGCTTCCTGACCTCCAGCGGCTCTCCTCTCTGACACTCGCTTTCTCCAGCCCACTCGGCCCCTCTGTCCTGCTCTGGTTCTTCACTGTCTGGGTGGTGTCCCTGCAAAAACAGGCTCAGTCCATTCAGAAAACACAAACACGTGTCACGTGCTGTGTCTGCCCTTTGCCAGGCACTGGGTTGAGTCACAAATGAGGCAGGGCAGCCTGGACCCTGCCCTCCGGGTCCTCTCCAGTGCTTTCTCTCTCACATGCCAACAGAGACTGTGCACCTGGTGTCCTTTTACCCAGGGCTGAGCAGGACCAAAGAGCGATGAGCCCTGAGTCTCTGTTTTCTCTCAGGATAGATAGAGCAGGAAGGGGCCTCTCTGGGCTCGGAGAGGGAGACTGCTGCTGACTGCATCTGGGGGCACAGCCAGCTCTTAGGAGAACTGACCTGGTGTCACCCTGTACTGGAGCAGGATAGCCACAGCTGTAGAGTTCATCACACAAAAGATAACACCCAGTATCTTCCTGTCTCTAGCCATGTTTCTCATTTTTGAATCTTTGTCCATTCCCGAGCATTTGCCTTGGACTTCTGGAATGTGGAATAAGACTGCCTGGGAAGATGTGGCAATAGAGGGGAGGGGGACTTGGGAGAGGACACAAGCAAGCAGCCATTACTCTCCCTGTTTCCCCAGCCTGTGAGTGCACCCCACCACCTGTGGTTGCCAGACCCTTCTAAAGAAGGAGGTTGTTTGTCTAGTTCCTGGGTAAATATTTGACCTGTTTTGGTTTCAGATGCTTGTCTCTTGAAACTCCCGAAACTCCCACCGGGCTTTATAAGCGCACCAGGAGAACATCTCTGACCATCAGAGTTGTTTTTGGATAGGCTGTAAAGAACTGGCCAGCTCACCAGACCTGCAAGGGTCAGCGCTGTGCTTGTGGTGCAGAAGGAGGGCATGTCCCTGCTGTCTCCCTGGGAGCCTGTGGTCCCACTGGGGAGCTTCAGGGGTCCTGAAGGAAGAGGGGGAGGAAGTCCCCTGGGACCACCAGATCCTTTCCAATGCCAGAATGCCTGCTGAGGGCAATGGCCACAGAGCAGGCAGGAATGGGAGCTTGGTGACATTCTGAGGAGGAGACAGAAGAGGGACAGGGTTGTGGGGATGAGGGTTAGGAGGGGAGGGAGCTGAACCATCCCTGGACCTGCTCCTGGGCCTGCAGCTGATGGGGGATGGGGGTGGGGGTAGGGGGGTGGAGGCTTCCTGTCCTGGTCCTTAGTCATGTGTGTATAGCGCCCAGCTGGCTCAGAACCTGCACTTCCCTTCCCAGTCCTACAGAGTAGGCTGGGTTGGTTCAGGTGAGAGCTGCTGCCCGGGCTGGGAAATTCAGGGGTTGGTCTCACCTCTGTGCTGACTGGAAGGCTGGAGGCCAGAGGCTGAGGTTCCTCGGCAGGAAGGGGACTGATGTGGGCACTGACATGATGGGGGATGGGCAGGAAGCAGAACAGGCCTGACCAGCCAGAGGCCCAAGGAGGGGACCTGGGAGTCACTCTGGGAAAGCTTAGGCAGACACTGTGACATGAGCTGGTCCAGAACCATTTTTCTAGCCCTGTGGAGTGGCTCTCCTCCCTGTCTGGCTTGCCACCAAGTCACTTGTTTCTTTAGGGCCACCTTAGCCTGAGTTCAGTGGGAAGCCGTAGGAGAATGTGCACTGGGTAGATGCCGCTTGCAGGTCTGGGGTCCTGGGAAGCTCCCCACCTGGGGCAGCTCAGAGGAAGTGAGGCTCTGGAAGCCAGGCCTGATTTAGGCTTGGCCTTGATGGACCAGGGAGGAGCCCCACCCACCCGGAAGGTCAGCCCTTCTCTGCCCACATCTTGCCTTACGTGAAAGATGCTGTTACACCTTCCATGGGGGAAGGAGGTTTCCATCTTAGGGCCAGATGGAGCCTCATACAGCCCTGACCTTGGGCTTGGTGCCCAGGCAGGGAACGAGTTGGAGCGATGCCAGAGGCAGGCGGACGAGGTGACGGAAATCATGCTCAACAACTTCGACAAGGTCCTGGAGCGTGACGGGAAGCTGGCAGAGCTGGAGCAGCGTTCAGACCAACTCCTGGACATGGTGTGAGGCCCGGGCAAGCACAGATGGGAGGGAGAGCCTCTCAGGCTGTTCTCAAGGCCTCCAGGCCCTTGGTGGAGGCCTCTGGGTCTCCTGAGGCACCCTAGCCTAGATGTGCAATGGGTAGGCCTCACACAGTAAGAAGGCCTGGGTCTGAAGGTCGGGGGCTGGCATTGCTAACCGGGGTGAGCCGGGAGGGCTAATAGCCAAGGGCTACCTAGTGTCTGAGACCAGAAGCAGACCAGGAGAGTCCCAGGGCAGTGTGTGAGGAGGACCAGGCGACCAGGCTCTGCTGGGATGGACGGGAGGAGTTGGCTCAGAGGCCCCATGGGAGCCACTAATTCCCACCTTGTGTCTGGGGTATCCACAGAGTTCAGCCTTCAGCAAGACAACCAAGACCCTCGCCCAGAAGAAGCGCTGGGAGAATATCCGCTGTAGGATCTACATGGGGCTGGCGGTGGCAGGTGGCCTACTCATACTTTTGATTGTACTGCTGGCCATCTTTCTCCCTCAGAGCAGTGGGGACAGCAGTGCCCCACAGGCCCAGGACACAGGCATTGCCTCAGGGCCTGGGGACTGACACAGCAGGCCTGGGGGAGAGGCTGAAGGGCTTCAGTGGTCAGCTCTGGTCTCCAGAGAACCCTGGTGTTTGTCCCCTTCTGAGCCACCCCAGTGACACCAAAGGGCAACCCTGAGACGTGCACCACTGCACCTCCCATCTTGCCACAGACTGGTGCTCAGTGGCAGCTTGCCGCACCAGCAATACCAGGCCAGTCCCACTGGAGCTCAGTAAAAGCCACTGTCTGGCTAAAAGCTGGTGTGAGTGTGTGTGTTTCTGAAGCTCCTCTGCCGCCACCCTGGGGCTGTTTAGCCTTCCACCTGAGGGGCTGCATCCCTCTTTTATCTTCCCTGCTTCTTCCTTGATCCAACCCTGTTCACCTTTCTGGAGTGAGAGTGCAAGGACACAGTGTTATCGGGTGTCCTAGGCCAGGGCCTAACTCTGGAATACAACGAACCAGCTCTGGCCACCTAACCCGGAAACCAAACAGAAACAGGACGGGGAACGGTGAAGAGCAGGAAAGGAACTGTAAGGGGACCCATGTCCTTAGCCCTGTCTTTGAGGGGACAACTGTGACTCTGAGGTTTTATCAAAAGGGGAATGAGAGCAAGGGTTTGGGGTCTGCACAGCTGGAGGCTTTTCATAGCTGCCAAAGCAGTGATCTCTTTCCTTTTTTGGCATGAGGAATTGAACCCAGAGGGGCTTAACCACTAAGCCACATCCCCAGCCTTTCTTAAAAAAAATTTATTTTGAGATGGTCTCACTAAGTTGCCTAGGGCATAACCAAGTTGCTGAGGCTGGCTTTGAACTTGTGATCCTCCTACCTCAGCCTCCTGAGCTGCTGGGATTACAGGTGTGTGCCATTATGCACAAGCCCAAAGCAGGTGATCTTGATCAGGTGTGGTCTGTCCATCATTATCTCAGGATTGGTCAGGCAGGCCTTGTTGAGATAAGGAAGGTACTGTTGCCTGTGGGTAGGGGAGTGAGGAGCTTGGATTCATCACAAGATGCTCATCAGATAACACTTTGTTCCTGGAATCGAAGGTGACATGGAATAAAGGAGATGGATATAAAATGTAGGCAGAGATGCAAAGTCTTCAATCCTGCTTTTAGGAATCCTTTGGACATTTGCAGTTTTATATATATATATCTTTGTTTTATATTTTATTTTATTTTTTTAGAGAGAGAGGAGAGAGGAGAGAGAGAGAGAATTTTTTTTTTAATATTTATTTTTTAGTTTTCGGCAGTCATAACATCTTTGTATGTGGTGCTGAGGATCGAACCCGGGTCACACACACATGCCAGGCGAGCGCGCTACCGCTTGAGCCACATCCCCAGCCCTTTGTTTTATTTTTTTAATGTGGTGCTGAGGATTGAACCCAGCGCCTCACGCATGCCAGGTGAGCACACTACCACTTGAACCACATCCCCAGCCCCTGGACATTTGCAGTCTTAAGACTTAAGAGTCTTAAGTCCTTGTTATAACAACAGTCGTCAAACCAGAACCTTGAGCCTGCTTTCCTGAACATCAAATCTATTACCTTTGACATCTTGGGAAACTCAGAGGGACTCTAGGTGGGAGGACAGTACTTCAGAGATGTTTTCATGAGGCCGTCACCTGCAGCAGTGGGGTCCCAGGAAGCTCCCCACCTGGGGCAGCTCAGAGGAAGCTGAGGTTCTAGAATCCAGGCCCAATGGACCAGGGAAGAGAAAAGAGGGATGCAGAGTCAGATAGACATTTCCCCTCTTAATACTCCCCCTCCCCAATTTCACTGCCTATGTTCCTTCTTCAACTTTAACACCTGCAGGAAGGCGCCTGTGGTACTGCAGTGTAGGGTCACAAAGAAGTTCGTCCTGTAGGAAAGAATCCAGACATTTCAACGTTCCAGAGACACATGTGGCCACAGGCATGGAAGAATGAAAGAAGGTCCCACACACTGTGGAAGCAGGGCAGCCTCTGCATGGGCTACTTAACTGCAGCTCAAACTCAAAAGTGAGTGGCAAGGGAATTAGAGGTAAAGTGTGTAAACTTAGCAGTTCCTTGTTAGATAGACGGCTACTGACAAAAGAAGAAAAAACTCAGAGTTTTGTGACCTTTACTCACAGTGTGACACAGTGAAAGTACACTTTCACTGGACTTATCACCGTCTTCCTCTTCTGGGAAAGATGGAAGCACCATTTACAGACTGTGTCATTTTGAGTGAACCCTTTTTTGGCACTGGGGATTTGGTCCCAATTGTGATTTACCACTGAGCTACAACTCCAGCCATTTTATTCTTTTTTAGTTTGAGACAGGGTCTCGCTAGGTTTCTGAGGGACTCCCTAAATTGCTGAGGCCGGGCCAGTCACTTCTGATACTTGCGTTTTACGTAATTAAAGGGGCAGAAGAGAGGCTGAGGGAGTAGCTCAGGGGAAAGCACGCACTTAGAGGCCCTGATTTCAAACCCCAGCAGCTAAAATCAATACTGCATGATTGTGTTTAGCTCCCAGGACTATTGCAAGGATCATGATACTATTTGTAAAACATCCATCAATGCAAATAATCCAGTGCAATGATTCTCAGCACTGCCTCGCCTTAGAATCACCTGCAGAACGGACACACGCCCCTCCGCAGACAGGCTAGTTTTAAATCTTCCCGATAAGAGCGCTACCCGCTCTTCTGGGGGGGGGGGGGAGGGGAAATGATATGCAGCCAGGGATACAAACTAGTAACTTAGCTCAAGAAGCTGCGCAGGGGGCTAAGGTAAACAGCCCCGAGCAAAGGTGAGGCTGCCCGCGTTCATCGCCAAGCAAATATATCGGAAGCGCAGGAGCTCTTCCTCGCGCAGCGAGGAGGTGCAGATTCCAGCACCCGCACGTTGAGACGGCGAGGCCACGGGGCGGTGGAAGACCGCAACCGCCCTTTCGCCTCCACGACTGAGACCACACCAGAAATTCCCGGGAATTCCTTCTTCCTCCGATCCCATTGGTCTCAGTCTTTGGTCACCTGACTCGTCCTACCAACCAGAGAAGGCAGAATCAGTACTTCCGCTTTCTGTACGTTAACCAACCACTACGCCCGCCCTTCCAGTATCCTGATTGGCTGGCTCCTCCCAAGTCGCCACTTTATTGGCCAGCGCCTCGGGGCCGCGATCCAGCGGGTCCGAGGGCTGTGTCAGACCGCAGCGGCCATGGCGTCCTATTTCGACGAGCACGACTGCGAGCCGTTGGACCGCGAGCAGGATGCCCGAACCAACATGCTGCTGGAGCTCGCAAGGTGGGCGCGGGCCGGCCGGGGCGGGGCCCGGGGGGCGGGGCGCCGAGGGGAAGCGGCCCAGCCCACCGCGGCTCGGGCCCAGGCGCTCCTGGAGGGCCGTGCGTGGCCTGGGCTACTCCCCCGAAGTGCCGGGGTGTTCGGATCAGCTGCAAGCCAGTCCCATGTGCTTTTTATCTAATAATGAGCGCCAACTGTGTACAGGGTAGCTGTTATTACTGCTAGTTGGGAATTGAATCCAGGGTCGCTCAACCACTAGCTACGCTCCTAGCCCGTTTTAGTTTTTATTTTGAGTCAAGGTCTTGCTAAGTTGCCTAGGACCTCACTAAGTTGCTGAAGCCGGCATTGAACTTACATCCTCCTACCTCAGCCTCTCTGGTCGCTGGGATTACAGGCGTGCAACACTGCACCTGGCCCTTTTTATTTTTAAAATTTTGTGTGTGTACACACACACATCACACACATTTTTTGGTACTGGGCACATTTTTTTGGGATATATTTTTGGTAGTGGGGATAGATCCTGGGGTCTCAGGGGGATGCTGGAAAACACTCTACCACCCAGCTATACCCCGAGTCCCTCTCTCTTGATACAAGGTCTTGGTAAGTTACTGAGGCTGGCCTTGAAAGTGTCATCCTCCTGAGTTTTGGGATTACAGGATTGCTAGTGTCTGGGTACCAGGCTGGGCAGGGTATTTGTGTGTTTGTCCTCAGTTACTTTGGGGGCAAAGAGGAAGTGTGGCTTTTCTTGGTTCTGACCTTGCAGCCTCCTCCCAGGTCTCTCTTCAATAGGATGGATCTTGAAGACTTGGGACTGGTCGTAGACTGGGATCACCACCTGCCTCCACCAGCTGCCAAGGCTGTGGTGGAGAGCCTCCCCAGGACAGTCATCAGTGGCTCTCAGGCTGGTGAGAACATCACATCCTTCTGCTGTCCGGGCAGGTCTGCAGACTGTGGTCTGGCCCTTCAGTGTTCCAGACCCCCACTGGGGCAAGCCTGCCCTTCGGGAGTGGGAGCTGGGTGGGGGAGCCTGCAGCCGCTCTCCTGATCAGCACTCCCTCCTCAAGAGCTCAAGTGCCCCGTGTGTCTTTTGGAATTTGAGGAGCAGGAGACTGTCATTGAGATGCCTTGCCATCACCTCTTCCATTCCAACTGCATTCTGCCCTGGCTGAGCAAGGTACTGCTTCCTTCCTTCCTATCATCAGTTCTTAGGGTTTTTTCTGGGATCAAAGAACAGTGGAGTAGGGGTTGGGGAGCTGGGGAGGGTGATTAGCTTGTGAATGAGACCAGACTTGGGCTGAAACATAACCTACTTTTCCCAGACAAATTCCTGCCCCCTGTGCCGCCACGAGCTGCCCACTGATGATGATACATACGAGGAGCATAGACGAGATAAGGTAGGAGCTGGTGAGGGCTATCATGGGTCCTTGGCCTGGCCCCGCTGTGCTCATTCTCCTCCTCAGCAGGCTGGGCTAGGCCTTTGGATTCCCTGGCTTTGGCCACCTTTCCAGTGATCACTAAAGGAACAGAAATCTCAAGAGTGCAGAAGCTAGGGGCCCAACATGAGATCCAGTCCTGTGGTTGCTGCCCATCCCTCCCCGTGGGTCTTCAGGCTGGCCCTGCCTGTGTTCCCTCTGTCTTTCAGGCTCGAAAGCAGCAGCAGCAGCACCGCCTGGAGAACCTCCATGGGGCCATGTACACGTGAGGCAGCTGGGCTGAGTGCCCACCCTCCACAGCGTCTCCCTCCACACCTGAACCCTCATTAAACGTGTCTTTGCCCACCTGCGACTGCATTGTTCACAGGCTGGGGCAGGGGCTGGTGTCCTCTACCAGGTCCCTGTTGCTCTTGGGTGAGGTGGTGCTGAACAGCAGAAGGTGCCAGGCTGCATTTCCCTCCCCAGCGGCCTGTCTGGACTCAGGGTGGTGGAGCTCAGGTAAAGAGCCTGCCACCAGGCAGCCAAGGTTTGGCCTGTACGGGTGGTTGGAAGGCACAGTCTGCCAGGGCCTGTACCCCGCAGCTATTTAAAGCTGATAAACTAACCTGCACTTCCCTCCCCCCACTGCAATTTCTAGTTAACCTTGGAACCTTCAGTTAACCTTGGAATCCTAGAGTGTTCTTTAGCACCAGAGAGAAAATTGCTTTTAACATTTTAAAAGTTGCTCTGTATCCTTCCCTCCCCATATCCCCCTACCTTAGAATCAAAGTTCAAACCAGACTGAGTGGGGGAAGGAAGTGAGGCTGTCAGGCCAGGTCAGGACTTTAGACAGTTTAGAGGCACAGGAAGGGTTTCAAGCTCTGATGGGTCCTTGGATAGTGTCTGGCATCCTTGGTTCCTGACAGCCCTGCTCTTAAAGAGCTGTGTATATTCTGGGCTCTCTCTGGGGGCAGGGGTTAGGGAAAGCCATCCGGATTATGCTCCCCCTTATTCCAGAAGAGACTACAACATGCAAATTAGAATTCTTTTAATAGATATAAAAAAAGTACTAAAATACCCATGTGGTTCTGCTGTGTTATTTGCCCTAAAGGAAGTGAGGGGCAGAGTGAAGATCCAGTGCAGCTCAGGGGCCCATGGCGGGCCTTCCTGTAGGCTAAGGCGTGCTCTTCCCATCCCTAGACTCGTCCTCCCTGCTGTCCCCAGCCCCCAATTCCTGCAGCAGGAAGCCCCAGTGGTCTGGCTGTGGCACTGGGAGAAGGCACCTGAGGGCTGGCTGGAGGGGAGGACTGGCTGAGCACAAAGCAGCTCTGCGGCACACGCATGGCCACTTCTCCCAGGCGAGGACGCCCAGATCCCAACAGAATACTTTCTAACAATGGTTTTTGGTACAAAGTAAATGCAAAGATGAGGGGTGCTGCAGAGCTGGCCAGCCCCCCTCCAGGACTCAGATCATGGCGATGCTCTCGGGGGCACAGTTGAGGTGTGTGGAGGTGCTGCTGCTGCCCGAGGACTTGCAGGCCCGGCCAGGGACAGGCTGCAGAGCGGCCACCAGAGTGTCTGAGGACACTGCCCCAAACTCATAGCTGAAGGTGCCATAGAAAATGAGGATATCGATGACGAACACCCACTCACACAGGGCTGCCCCATGCTGTAACTGGGAGCTCTCGTGGACAAAGAAGACGCCACCTGGAACACTGCTAAGGAAGGGCTCAGGAGGCTGTGCGGGGACCTGGCAGCACCCCTTCTGCAGTCCCACACATTGATCAGGCTGGGACAAGGGTCAGGCCTCCCCATGGACAGTGTGGACTGGAATCTACTAGGCCCACCCCATCTAGGAGGAGAAAGGAACTAATGGGTGAGTTCCTGGCCACACCATCTTAGAAGGATACTGAGGACCAGGGTGACGAAGGCGATGGCAGCCAGCACACTGCGCAGGTAGGCCACCACCAGGTCCAGGGGGGTGGTGGCTCCATGGTAGGACAGGGCACAGTGCAGGCAGACAAAGAGCAGTCCTGCAGGGAAGGCCACACCAGCTCCCACGTAGTGCAGAGGCTTGGCATGGTCCACCTGACAAGGCAGAGGCCCATCGTAAGGTCCCCCCACATCCATAGAGCTGGCGCCTGAGTCCAGGAGTGCTCTACCAGGGAGCCATATCCCCAGCCCTTATTTTTTGAGATGGGATCTTGCTAAGTTGCTGAGGCTGGCCTCAAACTTGAAATCTTCTTGCCTCTGCCTCCCAAGCTGCTGAGATTACAAGTATGTGCTAACGTGCAGGCCCTCCTGTCCCTCCCAGCCCCTCTCCTCCACCTCCACCTTGAGGTGGTGCCCCTGCAGGCAGTCAGGCCCTACTAGGGGAAGTCCATAGGGTGTTGGGGGGCACCTGAAAGTTGCCAACCACCACGAGGCCCGCGGCGTTGGTGCAGCCTGTGATGAGCGCTGTGGTGTTAACCCAAGAGTGCCGGCTCTGCTCCAGGAGCTGCCCATACCGCAGGAGGCAGATGAGGGCCACTGGGAGAGGAGACACTGCTGGGGCCAGCCTGGCACTTCCCGCCAGTCCTGCCCCTTCCAAGGCCCTTCTGAGGGCCCAAAGGGGACAGACAAGGCTGGGACTGGCAAGTAGCTGGGGTGGCAGTGTGGGAGCTGGCCTTTGGTCTTCAAGAACAGGAGAGCTGCTGCCCCTCTGGTCTCCCCTTGGAGGATGGCTGAGGAGCAAGGGCTTCTGGGCCTTCCTGAAGAGTGTAGGGGCTGACTGGACTGGTGAGGTGGGGCTGAGGTACCACTCACCCATGAAAGCTCCCACGTTCCCAATGAGGCTGAAGAGGCAGCTCTCGGGGGGGTAGGTGCCGCATTTGCTGTGGAGGGAAGGATGGCATGAGGCAGCAGCACTGGCCAGCCCCTCTGTCCCCTGCTTCCTTGGTCTGCCTGCTCCTCAGTGGGCAAAGCACTGAGTGATGAGGAGGGCTAGTGAGCCCCATAAACACTGGCCCCAGACTGAGCCCCCAGCAGAGCCCTGTGTGGAGCAATTAAGGGGTTCCCTGGGGTACCCTGGAGTGCTGGTGAGCTGAGTCCCTGCTAAGGCCTCTGGCTGGGCAACCAAGGATGTCAGCTTAAATCCAGCTGCCTACTTACTATCTCTGACCTGCCCAATAACTCTGAGCCTCAGTTTCCTCACCTACAACAGAAAACAGCAGCCTCCCTGCTGGGAGAATTAAGGGGCATCACACACAACGCCCTCAGCAGAGCCAGCTCCTAGCAACCAAATGGTATTAAGTAGCTCTTAGTATGATGATTATTCCTGTGACCCAGGGACAGGCCTTGGTTTAAGGGCTTTCTGGAAGTCTGGGAGGATTTTGTCTCCCTGACTTACCTGATGAGGGGGACATCGTCCAAAGTACAGCAGGTCTTGGGGCCCCCTTGCTCAGCAGGGTCAGGAGAGCAGGACTCGTTGTAGGACCTGGCAGGCAGGACACTGAGTAGACTGGGGGAGGGGGTGCCCTAGGCCTCGAGGAGGACCCGCTCCCAGACCTCCCCAGCAAGGAACCAGAGCCTGCTCCCCAGAGCCTGCCTGAAGCAGAAGCCAGAGGGGTGAAGGGATGGTGGAAGGTGGGCAGACGGGCAGGAAGCTGTGCCTGGGACCAACGTCAGAGAGCGAGGCCCAGGGCCTGCGCCCAGCTGTGCAGCAGAGGGCCCAGGAGGGGACAGATGAAGGGAGCTCTAGAGCGAGCTGCCTGCGGAGCACTGCATACCAGTTCTCCACGGGACACACGTGGCGGTTCATCACGGCCATGGCATACCTGTGGGAGGAGAACCGTCACCCTGTGGACAGTCCCTCCTGGCCCAGCCACCCCCTGCCTCTCCATCTTGACTGCTGGCCCCATCCAGGCTGTCGGCCTTGCTGGGGACTTGGGCCGGGATTGCAGCTGGGCTGAGGCTGGGCTGAGCGTTGACTACACCAGAGCTGCGTCAGGGCCCCAGCTGGAAACCCTCTGGAAACTGCCCTGGCTACAGCCTGTCAGTCGGTTCTTGCGCTGCCCGGCAGTGGTGCCAGCTTGTCCAAGGGGCTGTGTGCCCAGGCACCAGGCCAGGCTTTGGAGGCAGCCAAAGTGACCCTGGGCACCACCCTGGAGCCTACTACAGGACAAGGGACATTGTGTGTGCCATCAAGCATCAGGTCGCTGTCCCCCGCCCCCCAGCCCCTCTTACTTACACAGTCCATATGCCAGTGATGGAGAACGCTGACAGGCTGACAGGAAGGAGGATCCAGGCGGTCATGAGGGAGGGGAGCCAGGGTGGTGGAGGTGAGGGGCGGACAGGAGGCAGGTGGGGAAGAGGGGGCGGGCCACAACCATCAGCTGCCCCGGCCTGGTGGGGAGAGAGATCGAAGTCCAGGGTCCCCTGCCAAAGCAGGGGAGGGGCGGGGGAAGGGAGGCGGTCCACACCTCGCCCCGGCCCGGTGGGCGTGCAAACTTTGGGCAGCGCCCACGCCTCAACCTGCAGCTCTCGGTACCCGCAGGGCCCCGGCGTGCCGCGCGACTCCGCGTGCAGCGGCTTCGGCAAGGGACCCCTCCCTCGCCCGAGGGCCGCGGGGCGCCCAGGGCGCGCGGGGAGAGTGCGGGGGCGCCGGGAGGGGGTTACGCACCGCGCGAGCGCCGGCCGCCGCGCCCCGCTCGGCCCTCGTGGCGCGGTCCTGGGCTGCGGCCCCCGGAGCAGCCCCGCGCGTTTAAAGGGCCGGCGGCCCCGCCCCACCGCCCCTCCGCGCCGCGCCGCCCGCCGGGACCTGCAGTCCGCGCTGCCGGGACTACAACTCCCGAGCCGCCGCGCGCCGCCTAGGCGCGTCCGCACCGGCCGCCGACCCTGCCGACCCCGCCCGGCTTTCCTCACGCGCCCTCTTCGCACGCATGAGAACACCGAAAGCCGGCCAGAGGTCGCTGCGTCCAGGCGCTCCCCGACTGGTCAGCACCAGGGGGTGTGCGCTCTGAGCGATCCACCAGGTGCAGGGTGGTAGGGGTTCTGGTGGCCAGGTGTGGGAGGCAGGAGAGGAGGGCGAGCCCCAGACCCCGGGAGGAGGAGGCAGGGTTGTGCGGGCTAAGCTATCCACTAGCGTCACCGTAACGTAGAGGCCAAGGACATTCTTTTCATGACTGAAAGGCAGGAATGCTTGCTTTCACATACCGCAAGTGTGCCTGGGTCTGCCTGAAGGCAGCCCGGCCTGCGATGGCACTGCTGGGCGGCCATGGAGTCAGGTCACTAGCCGGTCCAACAGGGACGGCCAGCGCTCAGGGGCAAGAGGCGGCCACATAGGTGAGGCAAAGGTTATGTGCACAAACAGGGCCCCAGAATGCAAGGAAACAGCAGAAGAAACTGCAATGGCGAAGAGAAACCTTTTTGGACCCCACTGGGGGTAGAAATGGAACCTACACCCAAAGAAGGTGGACATGGGGAGTCCTTTTCCGGCTCACATCAGGCGTAGGAGTTAAAGCAGGGTCAAGAAATAAGGCTGCATGGTGGCCTAAGCCTGAAATCCCAGCGCTAGGGAGGCTAAGGCAGGAGGATGGCAAGTTCAAAGCCAGCCTCAGCAATTTAGTGAGGCCCTAAGCAACTTAGTGAAATCCTGTATCAAAATAAAATACAAAAGGGGATGTGGCTCAGTGGTTAAGTGCCCCTGGGTTCAATCCCTGGTATATATAAAAAAAAAAAGTATGGCTATAATGTGAAATAAAAACTAGTGTGGCTGTGGCAGATGTAGTGGTGCCTGGCCTGTGACCCTCCTGACTCTGGAGGCTGAAGCCAGCTTGGCCAACTTAGGAGACTCTTGTTTCAAAAAACAAAAACAACTCAAAAACCTGGCTGAACTAGGGGACATAAAATCAGACTACCTTTGGCTGGTCCCAAGGTCAAAGGGGTGCCTGTTTGTCTTTATTTATTTAGCAGCACTGGGGATTATAGCCAGTCCTTCATTTTTGAGACAGGGTCTCACTAAGCTGCCTGGGCTGGCCTTGAACTTGTGATCCTCCTGCTTCAGCCTCCTAGGTTGCTGGGTTACAGGTGTGGCCACCATCCCTGCCAAGCTTCGTGGTTTTCAACACTTACTGTGCTCCTGTTGAGCTGGGTCTGCACCACTGTCCAATCACCAGGCTGAGAGGACTCCTCAGATTCAACTGGCTGTTCTAATATGACGTGGGGTATAAGGCATTAGCATTCTGGAGCTGTGACACTGGAGGCACTTTTAGGCTTAATATGACAATCCCAATGCTCCTAAACTAGAATAAGTCCAAGCTAGAGCTCCCTACTACAAAGGGTCTCCTTCTGAGTACCTGGTGGGGCAAATCAGATGTTTCCAAAACTCTCTTCTACTGCTAATGCTGAGTAGGCCTAGCTGTTGTGCTCTTAAAATAGGCAAAACAAGAGGAGATGCTAGAGTGACTTCAGGGCAGGAACTAATCTCCTCTGCCCACATAACACAAATGATTTCACAACTCTTGACAAAACAGTGCTGTAAACATAGTTTATTGGTTTAACAAAATACTGCTTTTGAAAAGTGTCTCCCATCTGGGACTTTCAAATAGTCTGTACACTGTTTTATTTACCCACAACAGCAGATACACTGGGAGCCAGAAAACACAACCAAAGCCTTTTCACACCTGGCACCTCGAAGCAGCCAGTGCAACCTGCCAGGCGGAGGAGCCCTTCACTCAGCAGGTCCTCACTTCTACCTCACTCCAACTCCTGGGGAAACTTGGGGTGGGTACCTATGGCTTCTTGGTCATGTGATTCCTGGAGGACAGGACAGGAATTTAGAGGAGTTAAAGTATGTCAAATACTGGTCAGCATCCCATGGTGATTTTCCCAAAGGCTGAGACAAGAGGGGACTCCATTCTCATTCCTCATTTGATAAGCAAAGGCCTCATTTAAATTGTGAACCATCAGGGAACCCAGCACCCTGAGTTCATGGATCTTGCCAAATTCACAGCAGGTTGGGCACTCACCACCCAAGGGCTTCCTCCTATCCTGTGGACTCATCTCCGATTGGCAGTCTCCTGTCCAGAGAGGCTCTTCCTGTGAGTGTTAGCCTACTGGCTGGTGGGGCTTGGGGTTCCCACCTCACACAGCTTTCCTTTCCTTTCCCTGTGCTGCACTCCAAGGCCTCCTGCTTGCCAGTGGGCTGCAACTCCGGCTTCACAGCTCACTGAAGCACAGTTCCAAGACCTTGCATGATGGCTACCTCCTCTTGGTAATCACCCTTTGTGGCCCAGGAAACAAAAGCTTTAAAATTCGGGCTTAACCTCAGTTAAGAACAGAGGGAGGAACACTCCATACCCAATGGACATGCCTATCAGACTTTTCTTTAAGACAGCTGAGAACATATCTACTCAAGTGAGTGTTGCTTCACTCAGGCTAAGATTGCTGCCTCAGCACTGACTGGCAGAGGGTACTCCTCTTGTGGACAGCTCTAGAACCTGTGAGAAATGCTGTGGACATGCTCCTTCAGGCAAAGCATGAGTTTCTGAAACAGGTGCAAGCTGTCTGGAGGCAGGTTTACATAAGGTGGATAGCACCATCCTGGCCCCAGATGGACCGTGGTGGCGAGCAGTGGGGCCGAGCTCTGGGGCAGACAGCAGTATCTGCTCCAGCAGGGCAGCTCTGAAGGACCACCTCTCACTGAAGTACAGGCCTCAGCGCTTTATTTAGTCACTGTAAAAGTCATACATGTATTAGAATGCTGTCATGGGTAGAAAATATATGTCCTTGATAAACCAAAGTTCCTAAAGAAAAAAAGGGTAAAAGTAAGGACTTTCTATCCTCCTCTGCCTTAAGGGGCCTTTGTGAGACCCACATGACAAACACATAAAGGGACCCAACAGGCAATCACTAAACACTGCCTTCTTTTACCTCTTCCCCCTTCAAGAGACAGGAATGGTGCCGTGCCCCCCGACTCCTTTTGGGGCCTTCTTTCTCTATGTTCTATCATAAAACCAGGAAACAGGCAATCAAGCTGCGAGAAGACAGATACCGCCTCCCTCCCAGGGAGGCAGACTTCCAGTGAGAGCCCATGTTTCAAGTCACATATCACTTGGAGAGTTGGAAGACTAAAAGACTGGTCCTTTCCCTGCAGGAAGAAGTGGGTAGAGTCTGGAAGGGCCCCCTTGGCCCAGGTGCTGGATGGTAGCTGACATTCTAGGTCCAAAGGCACTTTATAGCTAGATGCATAAGTAGAGGTCAGAGACTTTCTCCTCTAAAAGCAGAACTGAGCCTGGGACTAAGCTTTAAGGCACTTGGGCTAGCAATGTAGGTCTGGAGCACAGGCCCCTCTAACTTACCACCGTACTCACTTCCCAGTGTTTCTCTGATACTGCAAGTTGTGGCTCATAGTGTTTAATGTTGTAATAGTGCAGTTGAAGTAGCTGCCTTGCCCCATTCTCCAGGGGTCAGTTTTCAGGGGTGCAGGACACAAACCAACAGTGCCCTTAGGTGTTCTTTAAGAGATGGAACAGTCAGACTGATCCTGAGATCCTGTTTGTATACAGAAACCCCTGGGGATGGGTATTTTGGTTTCAGGGACTCAGTGCTCACAGGCTCACTTACAGTCCACATTTGGAGTCACTGATGTTAGTTTGATTTGCTGGGAAACCGAGGTGCTTTGGAGCTTCAGTGCACAGGATGTCTTGTAGACTTTAGACCTTAGCCTCCCCACCTCCCAAAGTGGTGCTGGGGACTGAACCCAGAGCCGGGTGCATGCTAGGCAGGTACTCTACCACTGAGCTGCACCCCTCAGTCCTCTTGTCTAACCCTGTGTTAGAATGGAGCTCAGTAGCAGTGTGCTTGCCTAGCATGCAAGAGGCCCTGGGTTTGATTCCTGGGACCATTCCAAAAAATAAAAATTCTCTACATACAGCATATTGGCAGAAGGCTTTATAAACCCTGGCTCTCCCTAACGTCTCTGCTACCAGAGCACAAGGTTCTCTAATCAAAATTCTCAAAAAATTTCAAGATAATAGGCCAGCCAAATGGGCCAACATACTATTACTGGGGCTCTACAAGACTCTTAGTTGTATATTTTTTGGAGGTAGGAAAGGAAAACACATGGGGCAGATAAGGGGCTAATTTTACTTTTTCTAGTATGGGCTTTCTTCAGGACTTTTTTTTTTTTTTTTTCTGGCTACTGGGGCTCTAAACTTATGCTGATTTCCACTTTGCACATACATTCAAAACTGTTCTGGACTTTAATACCTTGTTTTGACAATTCCCCTTTAGTCTGAACAGAGAATAGTCTATTCACAACTGGGAATGGGATCAAAAGCTGGAATTGCTTAACTCTAACTAAAGCAGGATTCACTGAGATCCCCAGATTTTACAACAGCATCTTTTTCCTAGGTGGCCTATCTAAACAGCGCAAAGCCGTGGAGCATGGGAAGAAGTCATGCAAGGGGAAGAGAACAAGCTTCCAAGCAGGCCTCTCCCATCTTACTGGTGCCAGAAATATTCGGAGACCTTGTTAGAAAGGTAGATGCCCAGAACTCCCCACCAGCAAAGCCCTTAGTTGTGGAGATGCATAGTCATGTCAAGAGATGGGGTGAAAGGAACTGATGGGTTCTACCTGAGGCAAAAAGAACAAAACTTAAGCGGGGGGGGGGGGGGGGGGGGGGGGAAACTATGGTGGAAGCAGAAACATGAAAGAAAACGATAAAGTAACAAACACGGCTCATGGCGTGAGTGGTCAGGCATATGACCTCAGTGAGAGAGCAAGCGTATTGGCAAAAGGCTTTATAAACCCTGGCTCTCCCTAAGTTCTTAGCTTCAAGAGCACCAGGTTCTCTAATCAAAATTCTCAAAAAATTCCAAGACAATAGGCCAGCCAAATGGTCAACATACAAGAAAGAATTGCTGCAAGGGAGGTGGGCTAGGTGTAGCCCTGCAACACCCCTGTGGAGGCAGCAGCTTATAAGGGTCTCAAGATCAGACAGACAAGTCCTAGCACCGCAATGTAGGGTGGGCTCCCTAGTTAGAATTCATCCAAGTGCAGGATTCTGGCCTGGAGAGAATGCCTTCCACCTGGTCAGTGTCGGCTCTGGCGTTTGGCAATCTCCTCCTGGATACGCAACTTGAGGGCCTCTCGCATGGGCAGATCCAGAGGTGTGTGTGCTGACACTTCCTCACTCACCCTTCCTGGGTCATCGTCCTACGTGGAGGAAGAGTCAGGAAGCTCAGGGCCTCGTCTCTTGCAGAAAGGCAACCTTCCCTGTCCCCAGACAACACTCTCACAGAACTCCATTTGGCTCAAGGCTTCTTGTCAGTACCTGTCATTTCTCAGGTGTCCCCTGCAATAGTGATTCTCAACTGGGGGTCACAATGATGATTCTCCCACTGAGAATCACCAAGACAGAACTGAGATGTGCTCTTGAGCATCGCCTGGCAGTTCTGTGCTCTCACGTGGGGCAATCTTCACACTGGCCCTGAGGCAAACAGTGGCGCTGGGTCTGGAAGTGATTTCTACCACAGCCCAGGACCTTCAGGTGGCAGCTGTTTCCATGAGGCGTACCTGATACACGATAACTGATGTGACCTCTCCATTGTCCGACTCGTATTCTAAGCAGAAGAGCTGATGGCCAGAAGGCTCCAGCTCGGAGCCACCACTACTGCTGCTTTCACCGGACTCCTCACAGTCTGGGTTGCCTGGGTGGGTAGAACCATCTGTAGGGATGAACCAGAATGAGAGGGAAGAAGGGATGCTGCTGAAGGGCCTGCCCACAGAGATGATGCAGGAGAACACAGGGAAGAGAGCCCTGCTCTTCTGAGGACCCCTGTGCTCGTGTGCGCTATGCTTCCAGCCAGGAGGTTTCTTACCCTTGGTATCCCTGCTCTGGGCTGGCTTGATCTTTTTACAAGGTAGATGCACAGTGCATATTTGTCCAGCAATAGAACTGGGAGGGAGTGGAAGAATGGATAAAGCTCTGCCTGGGTTCAAGTCCAGGCTTTGCTGTTTAAGAACTCTGAGGTCTTGGGCAAGTTACTCTACTTGTCTACGCCTGTTGCCAACCAACAATAAGGAAACCTGAACAGTTCTAATTCGCATTCAACGAACGGATCTACACATGACCTAAAAGCATTTTAAACAACACTTAACAAGCTCAGTGCCACAGGTCAATTACGTGACCTGCACGTCACAAGGAAGCTGGGCAAAGGGCCATTTCTCTGGACTCCTCCGTAATTATGTTCTGGTTACTTATATTTGTGCCAGGCGTCTCTGCCGGGCAGCGGTGACACTCGCACACGACTCGGAGGGACGGGCGGTTGGCAGCCTCCTCGCCGGCTCGCAGGCCCCTCCGACCGCCGAGGCTGCAGCCGGGCCGCGGTTCTCTGGGAGGCTGTGCGGCGGGCGGCTCGGGCCTTGGCTCACCTCGGCGCCGCGGCAGGTACACCTGCAGGTCGGGCTTGCGCGGCCGCGTGGGCGCGGGCGTGTGCCGCCTCCTCGCCTTCTCCTTGGCCTGCTTCACCTTCTTGTCATAGTCGTCCCTGCGGGGAGCCGGGCGGGAGTCAGGGCCGGCGGGCCGGGCCGGGCCGGGTCAGGGGTGGCGGTGGGGCGGGGCGGTACCGAGCGATCTGGTTCCGTCGTATGTGGTGCACGAAGCCGTGGCTCATGTCCAGCCGCCCGCCGGGCCGGCAGCAGAGCCTCGGCCCGGGGCCCGGCGCCGCCTCCATTCGGAACGGCGCCGTGTGGAGCCACCGCCGGCCGTCAACGGTCCAGCCGCGGCCCCGATCCTCGCCAGGCCCGACTTCCGGCCCAGGCCCGACTTCCGGCTCGAGGCTCGACTTCCGGCCCTGGGTCTGCGGCGCGGCGCTGGGCCCCCTCGACTGCCGAGGAGCAGTTTTCCTTGGGACGCGATTAGCAGGAAGCGAGGGTGTCGGCCCACGGGGGACCACAGGGAAGCCCAGGGAACAAAAGGGCTGAGGCGGCGTGGCTCGGTGACAGCGCGCTTGCCTGGCACGGGCCAAGCCCCGAGTTCAGTCCTAGTGCAGAAAAAAAGGGAAAATTCGGAAAAATGCAACCCACGTGGGAGCACCCCACGTGTCACTCTTCCTGTCGCACAAACTGTGACGTTCCTTCACCAGCTTCGAGTCCTGGCAGGACGCCCTAACCCCGCTGTACACTGGAGTCACCCAGAACAGAGTGCTTGCTTCAGGCCGCGAGGCAGCACTGGGATCGCGCAGGCTTTCGGGCCCGCAGCCTGCACGGCTCACCGGTCTCTCGCGTCAGGCTCTCACTTCAAAGGTCAAAATCAGGAATTCATGTTAGAACAGGAACAAATCGTGGCCCATCTCCGCGATGGAAGCTACTGCTCAAGCAAAGAATCGAGCAGTCTGTACCCCTGCACGACACGGCCAGAGCCCGGATTCCGGAACACCGATGCCGGGCGAAAGAGCCTAGCTAGAGAGCGAGCGTAGTGGGGCCTGGGCATTGCGCTCCAGGGAGCACGGCCACTCTAGGGGACAGCAGGTCAGCAGACCGCGTGGCCTCCCTGGCGTACAAGGACAGTTTCCCTCTTTTCCTTGCGGGGATGGCTTTGCAGGTGCAACCATATGTCAGAATTTAGCAAACTGCAGACGTTAGACGTACAGCATCTTCCCTGTCAACGCACCGCAGTGGACCAGTTCAGACAGGCAGGCGGAACTGCCTGCGCCCAGCGTTGTAAGACCCGCCCAGCGTGTGTGAGACCCGTGAGACTCCCAGCCCCGCAAACCCCCCACACCCATAAAGACGGGCAAAGGAGCTCGAGACAGCCGTGGGGTCTTCAGTGGTTGCATGGTGAACACTCCTGGCAGGGCGTTTGCAGTTTCATGATACCAAGAACCCTCTAAATGAGGAATTGTGCCGCCAGGTACCCGCACGGAGGGGTTAAGGTGGCATGCATATAGCTCCCTTTTCCTGTGAAGGTCTTGTTACAAGGTAGATGCACAGCACACATTTGTCCAGCAATAAGATTGGAAGGGAGTGGACGAGTGGACAGAGTTCTGCCTGGGTTCAAATCCAGGCTTTGCTGTTTAAGAGCTCATCAGCCTCCAAGGCGAGGAGGTTGCGCGAGGCAACCTCCGATGGCGGTTTCGAGGCATAAAGTGTCTTGAAATCTGGGTTCCAAGTACAACTGCCACTATCCAGAAAACGCAGTACTGATAAAACGTCCCTGTCTCTTAAGCAAGGAGAGCCAACAGGTCCTGAGGTCAGGCAGCTCCGCGCGCCGCACCTCCGGCGCTTCCTGGCGCGTGAATTGTCTCCGCCGGCGACTCGTAGAGCGCGTCGAGCTCGGCCGCTCCGAGGCTCCTGATTGGCCCCGTGCCGCGCGTTCGGCGTCCAGGCGCCTGCGCGGGTTGCTGGGCTGGCGGTGGCGATGTCCAGCCGGTCTAAGCGGGAGTCGCGGGGCTCGGCCCGCGGGAAGCGCGAGTCCGAGGCGCGGAGCAGCTCGGGTCGCTCAAAACGGGAGCGCGAGCGCGAGCGGGAGCCTGAGGCGGCCGGCTCCCGGGGCAGCCCGGTGCGCGTCAAGCGCGAGGTCGAGCCGGCGAGCGCGCGCGAGGCCCCGGCGCCCACCGTCCCGGCGCCGCGGGTGAAGCGGGAGCGTGAGGCAGACGAGGACTCGGAGCCCGAGCGGGAGGTGCGAGGTGCGCGGGGCCGGGCGGGTGGGCGCCACCCGGGCGGTCTGGGGTTTCCCTGCGGCCCCGCCACTGCTCTGCCGGGGTCGGGTCCAGGCCCTGCGGCGGCCAAGACCGCGCTGGTCCAGCGGCCGCCCCTTAGCAAATGCCCAGGGCTTCCGCAGCCACCGTACCCCTCATAGGGCCCTGCGGTGCCTACTGCGGACGGACGGGTCGGCGCGCGCCTGAGACTGGCTGTGTCCTGCCCGCAAGGTGGACGGCCTGGGAGACTGTTCTCCGTCGGGCGCTGAGGTTCTGCCCGTGTGGGCCACAGGCTGGCGGCCTTGGCTCCGGGCTTAGCGTGTGGGTGCAGTGAACAGCAAGGGGAGACAGGCTCCAACCAGCTCTAGAAGGTGCGAGTTCTGTAGGCTCTGGGCTCTTTGGTCAGGCACCACACCTATGCAGTTTCTCTTCCCGGAGCCTTGTGGGAGTGACTCTAGGACGGACACGCCTGCTATATTCTGGCCACTGCTGTTGCTTGTTAAACAGTCTTTTGTTTTGGACCCAATGCTGAATGTGGTCCTTCAGTATCCATGAAAACTGGTAGGCTAAATTGTTAAAGGTTAAATCTGTGACATGGATCCAGACAAATGGCACATTTAGGATATCCATACACACTTTAAACTGTACTTGTGCATTGCATTGGCCTTATCTTAGCACTTGTGATATAGTTCATGAGATCCTCCATGTCTCATTGAATTTCTTTATGTAATGTATAAATGAATCTTGTTGGTTAAATATATAGCAAGTACATTCTTCCAGCTTCTGGCTTGTTCCCCTAGTGGACTTTTAAAAAAGATGATTTGCCATATAAGAAATTAGGATTAGATTTTTCCATTTCTTTGTTTCTTAGCACTGGTAGTTGATTCTGAATATAGGGTTGTCATTTTCAAAATCTGCAATGATTTTCCTTTTAGCAAAGAATGGCCGCGTGGATTCTGAGGATCGGAGGAGCCGCCACTGCCCATATCTGGATACCATTAACAGGTCAGTAGGATAGAGAAGCTGAGGATGGCTTAAGAAAAGTGTGTGGGGGGTCTACATGGAAAATTCTTTGGATTGAACATCAAACAACACTTTACTCCTTTAAAAGCTTTCTGCCAAGAAAATTGTGTTTCTTGCAATATTTGTTAATGTCATTTTGGGGGGGCGTCTACTGAAGAATGAACCTGGGGCATTCTACCACTGAGCTACATCCTTAATCCTTTTTATTTATTTACTTAGTTTGAAACAGGGTCTTGCTGAGACACTGTGGGGTTCAGTAAGTTGCTGATGCTGACCTTGAACTTAGCATTCCTAATGCCTGAGCCTCCCAAGTTGCTGGGATTACAAGTGTGAGCCATTATACCCTATTTAATCTTTGTTCTTCAAATATAAAGTGGCAGAAATCATTTTCTTTTTTTAAAAGGTGGGCATATACATAAAGAGCTTTTAGCTTATTCTTAATTTGTTTTTTTGAAATAAGAGGACACATATTATACTTAAAATAGCAATAACAAATATTTATTGAGCATTCTTTGTATATCAGGTATTATTCTCAATGCTGAGGATTCAACAGACTTAATAGTAGCGAACGTAAAGTATTTACTACTAGGCATGGTGGCGTACACCTGAAGTCCCAGCTATTTGGGAGGCTGAGGCAGAGGATGGCAAGTTTGAGATCACCCTGGGCAACAGATCCTGTCTCAAAAATGAAAAGGGCTGAGGGTGTTGTTCAGTGGTAGAGTGCCCCTGGGTTCAACCCCTAGTACCCCCCACCCCCCGCCACACACACACACACAATTGTCAGTAGTTACAACTGCACTGTACAGGATCATTTATAATTTATTAGAGAAATCCCAATGTCACTTGTGGGTTTGGTGGAGGTAGAGTTTTTTTTTTGTTACTTTCTGTCCAGTATTCACATGCTATTACTTGACACTTGAATACATAATATAGTTGTAGGTATTCTCCTAAAATCTTTCAAGTTTCCCCCGTATTTTTATGGAGAAAAAGAATTTTTTCTCAGGCTGGGGTTGTGGCTTAGAGGTAGAGCGCTCGCCTGGCATGTGCGAGGCCCTGGGTTCGATCCTCAGCACCGCATACAAATAAGTAAGTAAAATAAAGATATTGTGTCCAACTAAAACTAAACAATAAATAGTTAAAAAAAAAAAAGAATTTTTTTCTCTTATAAAATGGTGTATTCAGTCTGTTTATGTCCTCTCATCTCCCAGAATGCCGTGGGGACCCTACTATAGCCCTATATCTACCTTTCCCTTCAGAGAAGGTCATGATAATGAAGGGTTCTTAACTGGCTACAAATATAATCATCCCTTGGTGTATGGAGGACCGGTACTAAGAACCCCCATGGATACCAAAATCTGTGGATAATCAAGTCCCTTAAATAAAATGAATTGCCATGGTATTTGCATGTGATCTATGCTCATCCTCCTGCACACTTTAAATTATCCTAGGTCACTAATTAATGCTGATATAAGTACTGTATAAATAGGTACCATACTGTATTGGTTATGAAATAATGACAGGAGAAAAATGTCTGTACTTGTTTATTACAGATATAGTTTTTGTTTTTTCCCAGATACTTTTGATGTGTTTGGTTGAACCCACCAGTGTAGAACCCATGGATAAGTGCACACTACTTCTATTAAGGAAAAGGGTCATGGGCATTATGTGTCAGGTGCAGACACCTCCACACTGCCTTGGGCATGGTAGCTGGAAATGGAGAATGATTAATGCGCTCCACAATTTACAGTTGATTCTAAACCATTCTCTGCAGGGTTCTATGGGACACGTGGAATCTGGGGCTCTGTTTGGGTCCCTCTTAGACTTGAAGCCAACACAGCTGTTTGGGGCCCTCCCAGACACTGACCTATTGATTATGTGGTCTTTTTTTGTGTGTTGTTTTGATTCTTTTAGGAGTGTGTTGGACTTTGACTTTGAGAAACTGTGCTCTATCTCCCTTTCACATATCAATGCATATGCCTGTCTGGTGTGTGGCAAGTACTTTCAAGGTGAGTGAATATTTTCAGAGCTATCTGCAGGTCTTCTTTTATTTTATT